GCAACAGCTTCTTATCAATATATCACCAGAGTTCTCGCTACCCTTATTAATCACCCCCTAAAACAGAGTACCCAAGTTCTGAGCATTCTTCTCATCTTTTGAACCTCATCATGGGATGTCAGCATCTGATTGCAGGTTAGACTACGCCTGGCAGAGCTCCAGTGACTGGCAAAGGAAGTCAGGGAAAATGGAATGGAATCTGGCCAAGAGATAGGAGTTACTGGGCTCTGGCCCAGTCTCTGCCCTCAACCCAGCCACCTCATCTTGGAGCAATGACTTTCCACCCTGGGCCTCAACATCCTTATCTGTAAAATGAAAGCCTTGCTTTTGATGATGACTCCACACGCCCTCTAGCTTTTACGTTCTTTGGCCAATACCCAGGGAATTTCTGGAGAGAAGCTAGCACCAAGCTGAGCTGTGTGGAAAGGCCACGTCCCTCCTTGATAGATTTCAGTCACTCCTTGAGATGAATATTTTGAAAAAGAAAATAAAGAGAAACGGCATGGTAACAGGAATCATGGGGAAAAGTGAAATTAGAAACAAAAAGGGGGATTTCATTAGATACGGGGGCAGAGGGAGGTACATGGAAGCCTCCGTTGGTGTCCTCATTCATCTACGTAGTTTTGCAAAAATGCGATAAGCTTTTTACAGCTTTGGAAAACAAAGCCAGCAGTTCTAATTTAAGAACAGTCTCTGGAAAGTGCAACTTTTGGGCTAACTGGAGCAAAACATCAAAACAAAACGAAACCCCAAATCCCTCCAAGTCGCTACTTGTCTCTCACCCCAACCATTCTCTGCTCTCTTCATCCGGCACCTGCCGCTTTACTGGGATCTGGTCCATGGCTGGGTGTTCTTGTAACTTCTGGCGGCAGTGGGTCTGCAGTGTGGTGCTTCCTTCTCCCAAAGTGTAATTTTCCACACACACAGACTAACTCAAAGTTTCATCGCTATTGCTTGGGTAGAACGTCAAAAGTTGAGACAGCTCTACGCCCCACCCCACCCCCTTCCCATGCGCCCCAGTACATCTGAAAGATCCCGGGCCCTTGGTTCTAACCCTTGCAGTGACATCTGACTTCTAGGTCAGCTTTGTCCTCCCTGTGCAGCTGCAGACCCACCTGCTTTCTCAAGTCCAGCCCAGGCCCCAGGACAGCTGCTCTGCCTCTCTCAGGACACAAGCCCTCCAGGCATGCCTCAGAATTAGAGTGGGAGTGGAGAAGGGAGAAAGAGAAGAAAGGAAAAACAACAAAAAGGGTGGGCAGGAGGTTCAGAGGGAGAAGGAAGGATGGAAAGAAAGGGGTTCTTTTGTTGTCCAAGCTGAGCTGACAAAGCAGAAAGCGGGGAAGGAAGGGGGGGAAAAGGCAAGAAAAGTCAAGTTAAAGCACAGCCGTTTGTCTTCTCACTCTCATTTTGGTTGGCACAGGGCACAGCCAGATTTCAAAGGCTGGTTTCAAAGGCGAGGAGTTGCGGGTGGGAAAGGATTCTGGCTCCTTCAGTTTTCCATGAGCTTGTTCAACCCAGACATTAATTCAGCCAATAAACCTCACTCTGGAACTTGCCTTTAACCTAGCATTTGGACCAGGCTTGGTGCTGGAGCCAGGGCCATGAGGGCCAGAACCTGCCAAATGCACTACCAAATTCACTTTGGTTTAGGTGGCCCCCCTTCCACCCTGCCCAGCATAGGTTTTTTTTGTCCCATATGCTTTCCTATTTTTCAAGGACAGAACGGAAACTCAGAATCCTTCCTGCCTCACTGTGAGTATACTTGGAGGCCCTGCCAGGGCTCCCTGATTCGCCCCTGGTTGGCTTTCCTGCTTCCTTTGGCCCATTAAGGAGCTCCGTTGGTCTAGTGGATAAGGAGCTGTGCTGTCAACTCAAAGTCATGAGTTCAAATCCACCAGCTGCTTCTTGGGAGAAAGATGAGCAAACGACTCAGTCGATTTCTGAAAACTAGATGGAAGTTCAGCTGTGAGTCGATTTTGACAGCATAAACACCAGCCCCTGGCCCGTTGCCTCTTCCCATGCGCCTCTCGGTAGGGTCTTTTTGAGGATGTACTTTGGTACATGCTGGAGTTTGTAGGGTTGGGTGTGAGTGTGCCCTCCCTTCCCATTCTCCTTTGTCTTCAAGACATGTCTACTAACTTAGTGCCCACTATGCCAGTGAGCAAGATGCCGATTAAGTGCTAAGGCTCAAGTCTTTAAAACTCCCTGCTCTCCACACCTGCTATGATCGGATATGTTTGTGGATATTGAGTTTGGCCAAACAAACAACTCTGGTCTCTCACCTCCTTCCAAGCTATCACCTTCGCTTCCTAGATCTCTGACCATGAACTGACCAAAAGGAAATTCATGGCCTGGCGTACTTACAGCACCAGAGGGGCTACTCCCTCTCTGGTTGCTTAGCAACGTGCCTAGCAAAACACCAGTAAGAGCCTGCCGGCCCTCCCTCTCTTCTCCAGCCCAGAAGCACTGGCTGCCTGCCACTTTGCTCTCCTCCACTCACCTAGAAATGCACATTTTTTAACACACACACACACACACACACACACACACACACACACACACACTTCGGCAACTGTGTAGGAAGGAAGGAGAAATTCACGCTGCTTATTTTTTGGTTGTATGAATTGAAGTTTTTCGGGTGTACCGCATAGAAGGAGACTTAGCCAAAGGAGCCACTGCTTTCTGTCCAGTGTTCACCTCCTTAAGAATTGTCTCTGTTGAGTGCAGGGAAAGGGAAAAAAAAAATCCACCCACCCCTACAAAAAGAACTCTTACTAACCCCCAAACAACTTAGAAACTGTCTCTATGCTATCTGCAGCTTCTGGGGACCTACCCCAAACTTTTTGAGCAGAAAGGCACTAGCCAGGGCTGACCACTCCCACCTCTAAGGTCCGAGGGGAAGGTGTTGGCCTGGGGTATCTGTCAAGCGCAGCCAATCCGCAACTGGCATCCTCAATGGCACTTGCCATTGGCTGAGTGGAGTCTCTGAGAAGCGCCAGGGAAGGCACAGCAAGGCACCCTGAAAGGGGCGGGATTGTTGAATAAGAACCTGCAAAGAGTCTTGGGGTGGGAGGCGCGTGGGTGGAGTGGTTGCCGGGGTAAGTTGGATGCAGCTACTCGCATGGCTGCAATTGTGCGCAAGCAGCGGTGTGCACTCTCTGCGCGCCAACCACTTGCCAACTTCTGTGCGCTGGCGGGAGAGAGGCGGGCTCGGGCACCACGCGTACTGCGCATGTGGACAGATTGTTACCCAAGCGCTCGCTGCCAAGCCAGGAAATAGATTTCTTGTTCTCCCCCACACCAAAGCTTTTCCGAATCCACCCTTCTCAAAATGAAAGTGGGCGAGATTGCCTTTGAAAAGCGGCTCTTAGGAAAAATAACACAACAAACTGTCCTCTAGGGCCAGGTCTTCTCTTTTTTCTTGCTCCTTCCCTCTCTTCTCTCCTGCCTTAGGAGCTGATTCACTCCTCTCCTATAAGATAAGGTCTGCAGTTTGCACTTAAGAAAACCTGGGAAGCTCGGGCTGGAGGGGAGGAAGGCATTGTCGCAAGAGAATCTGTAAAATAAACTGCATTCAGTTAAGATAACCTACCTGTCTTGGAGAGAATCAATAACCAAGTTGTCAACCCTGAATCCAGACTTGTGTGTCTAATTCTCTAAACATTAATTTGTTGGGTTTTTAATTTTTTTTTTTTTAACAAAAATCACCTTAAAGATCAGGTATTTCTCTCCCAATAGAATGCCAATTTAAATGGGAGGAACTGTTGTGATTGAACAACTAGCTCTGCCAATCATTTCAAGCCTAGACTCCCTGAGCTTTGAATCTGGGGGCGGGGTGATCTGGGGGCGGGACAACTTGGAAGTGGGGAGGAGACTTCATGCGTGGCTTTCTCTGTCTCCGCCCCCTTGGTTTTGCATTGCGATTGCTGATCCGCCTGTGCATTTACAGCACACCCAGTTGTGGTAGGGTTTGAGAGACTGGGGACCAGACTGAGGCTGGGAGGACTGGCACTGGCGGGGAAATGGGGATGTCTGAATCTCTCTCCTTTTCTCGACTCCCCATTCCATATCCACCTTTCCTCCAAGATAAATTCTGAACTTGGGGAGGGGAAAAGAATTAGATTCAGGGATGAAATCCTAGAACAAAACACTCATCCCTCCTCCCTTTCTGCTACCCTCCCTCACTGAGTGAACCTAAAGTATTCTTTCCTGTCCTGGGTGAAGAGGCATTTTAGATATGAATATTTCACCATCCATCATAAACAATCAAACAATAATATATCAAGTCAAACGTAACAGAATCGGCTTACGTGGGAAGGAGGGGGGAACCAAAGCACCTACCCCAAAGGCGCTCACTACCAAGTATGTATATGAGTGTATGTGTGTGTGTGCGTGTGTGCGCGCGCGCGCGCGCACGCTGAGGTGATTGAGCAGAAACGTCCACAGGGACTGAGGGTGGCGTGTGTGTGTGTGTGTGTGTGTGTGTGTGTGTGTGTTGGGTGAGGCGGGCAGAGGAGTTGGAAGGGACAAAGGTGGAATTAGCTCAGAAGAAGGGTAACGCCTCTTTTTCCAGGCTCCCAGTTAAAACAATATTTTAACAAAAGAAAAAAAGTAAATCATTCCCCCCACCCTCCCTCAAGTTCAGAAAAACCATATTGGTTGAGTGGCGGTTGGCAGTTGATAACGGGCATACATTTTTTTTCAGACTGAAATGGGGCAGGAGGAGAAGTGGATCCTGTCGAACGCGCTCAGAGTGTGGATTCAGATGGGGGCCATGCAGTGAGGTGGGGGCTTGGGCGAGGAAAGGGGAAACAATGACAAGGCTCCACTAGACTGGAGCCTAAGGTAGCCGGATCGTCCTCCAGAGCTTCCCATCCAGAGACCCTCCCGACCCAACTCCACCCGGCTCCAAGCCACTTGCTGGGCGCGGCGCGCGTTTGCACAGCCCCACGTCCCCGCCCGTGCGCCCCGCGGCTGCCTGGCACCCGGGGCACGCTCACCGATCTTGACTTGCTCTCGGTAGCTCTTCTCGTTGAGGCAAACCCCGCGGCCGTGCAGGAGGGCGTGCAGTGGTTTCTCCTCATCCTGCCGCGGGAGGCAGCGCAGCCCTAGGGCGCAGCGCTCGGTGTAGACGCCGCACGACTGCCCCTCGGCCAGGGCGCAAGTCATGCAGCAGCCGCAGCCGGGCTCCTTGACCAGCTCGCAGCCCAGGGGGCTGGGGGGGCACATGGACAGGGCTTTCTCGTCGCAGGGCTCACAGTGCACGAAGGAGCCCAAGCCCTGGGCGGGCCCCGCGCAGGCGGCCAGCAGCAGGAGGACCGCGGTGAGAACCATCTTCTCCGAGTCTCCCCGTTTACCTCGGGGCGGGTCAGGAGAATGCGAGTGCAGGGAGCCAGGGGCCGAAAGGGCACCTGGAGACTTTTTTGGGTTTTAATTTCTGGCAGGTAGAGCAGGTGCCTTCTCTCAGACACTTGGAAAATGTACGGAGAGATGGATGAGTGGGGTGTCTGCAGACAAGTCTCTATTGCAAGAATGAAAGATTTGCAACAGGTTGGGGGAAAAAGAGCAGCTCCAGGTGCACCGAGAGGGAGCAAAAGCTCCCAAATCCAACCTGCACAGAATTGCAGGGGAGGGGGAAAATCACTCCGAATGCTCACTCGGAGCACCCCGGGAATAAGGTGCCGGGGGCTCTGGAGGAGAAGGGAGGGGTCAGATTTGTCTTTAAATTTTTTGCTTCAAATCTGAAGCACTCCTAGCTCTTTCCTGACCCTCAGCTGCCAGGACGCACGACTGGCAGCCAACACGGTTGGGGGAGGATGTTGATGTCAATAGAATAAAAAACCCAAACAAATCCTCAAACACGAGAAAACCCTAACACCTCTGTTCTCCCACTTTACTGCCACCTCTTCAGAATTCGCAGGTTCTGAGGAAAAAAAAAAGCGCCCAGGGAAGGGTGCAAACGGAGCAAGGAGTGATTAAAAGAAGAGGGGAGAAAAGAAAAAAAAAGAAAAAAAAAAAAAAGGAAAAGGGGAAAACCCCACACGGCTTTGCAGGGCTCTGCAAGCTCTTTTTCTTGCCCGGCAGAAGTTTCCAAAGAGACTACGGGGCTCCGGTGGAGCGGGCGCTTTTAAATAGCCAGTCCTGGCTGCCAGCCAGTTTGTAGCTGCAATTTGAGCTCCCCAACACCCAACCCAGGCAAGGATGCCAAAGAGCTTTGCAGCACAAACTCACATGGGGTGGGGGTGGGGAGAGGCCTTCGAGACACACGAGGGCTCCCCTTCACTCCCAACAGCGCCCTCCTCCCCCCGGAATGTCAGAAAGGGGCACCCGGACTGGGCTCTGGCTGCTGGGAGAGGGTCTGGGGATGGAGGATGGAGGACGAATGGAAGAGTTCTCCAGAGGATGGGGGGGCACACTGAAAGCAACTTGTTACCCCCTCCCTTCGCCTGCCCCTTCATCAGCCAAGGTGCAGGCTGGGGGACTGATATCAGTTAACTGTACATATACGGTGCCCCAGAAGTTGTTCTTAAGCATTGTTGAATGTGGGTAGTTAACGTGTAAAGGGTGTGTGTGTGTGTGTGTTTTGAGAAAGCAATGGGGTGGGGGAAGGAGAGGAAGGAGGAGGTAGTGTAGGCTGGCCAGTGATGGATGGTGAGCTGAATTAAAGAAAAAAGGGGGGGGAGAAAAGTGGATTTCCCCCTCCCCCCTAAAGTCTGGGGAAGGGGATTTGATCACAGTTGCTGATCAAGTGACTGTCTTTGGTCACGGGGCTTGCTTCAGCTACATTGTGGGCATAGGTGGCTTGTGGGGTGTGTGTGTGTGTGTGAGTGTGTGTGTGTGAGTGTGTGTGTGTGTGTGTGTGTGTGGTGTACTTGCAGGATGGAACAGTCATACAAAGCAGCATTATTGGGAGCTGAGTTCTAGGCACAACATATTGGAAGGAAAACTTCGTAAGTCTGAAGACTTTGCCAGGTGACCAAAAGTGCCTGGTTTGGTGTGTGGTTTTTTTCTTTTCCATGGAAGGCAGACAGACTGGGTGACACTTTACCTCAGTGATTTCCGAGGATGTTTCTATCTGCCCCTTGGGAAGAATGAGTGAGGGGGTAAGAGTCTTTGCTGAAAGGTTAATTGGTGCATATATAGGGCTGTCCCAGGAACATGGGCTGTCCCAGGAACATGAGCTGTAAGAAGATGACAAAATTTGCCCCAAAGAGATTCTGACTGGGTAGATGAACTCCCCATCCCTGCTTGAAACATCCGTAATCTATTCACACAGTATGCACCCCTTTCTTTGCTTACTCAAACGATAGGAATACAAGATTTTAGAAGGAGGAAGGCGATGATTTCAGATTATTCTGAAACTGGCATGGGCAAGTTATTACCTCATGGTTAGTCCAAGACGAATGACCAGTCTGTGATCACCCCATTTGAGGGTCTTTGGAAAGGGACTGCTTTCTCCCCTTTGCATTTTCCTCCTGCTCTTTAGAAACCTTCTAACTTTCCTTTGGTGAAGGGGCTGCATTTCACGAAGTTTGCCACTAGACTGCACCCTTATCTATGATAAGAATTCTTTCTTGAGGACAGCTTTTAAGAAAACATTCCTTGCTGGTTTCAGAGCATCGGGCTTTCTGCTTTAAGCATGCTTAAGATCCCCATCTCGTCTCTCACTTTATCTATTTGCTGAAAGGCACGTTTAAAACAAGGCTCAAATTGAAGGCTGTGCTTTTGCTTGTATTGCCATAGGGATGTTAGATGTTGGCTGGCAGAGGGAGGGGTAACTGTGGGAAAGATTTCTTTAAAAAAGAAGGAAAAGAAGAAAGAAATAGGAGTAAGGTCTATTATCTTTGAATCTCCTCTTGAACTGGGGCTTGCTAAGGGAGGGAACACATGAATTAAAACAAAACAAAAAAAAAGGGGTGAAAATATTTTAGAGTGAGATGCTAGTTTTCGAGTGTGTAGCTGGTGTTCTGGTCCCTGATCCTGTTTCAGCAACATCTTAATTACCTGGCCAGCTACCTGGTCGCATTTAAGATGAATGGGAAATTGTGGTGCTCTTTCCAAGGAAAAATGAGTTGCCTAGTTCCAGCCACCCTGTAGTCCAAGAGAGACAGCCACCAGGGACATGTCTTTTTGTCTCGTGGATTTCCATTGACTGGAAAGTCAAATGTCTGAGGACAGGTACACACAAGAGGGGATGATTCATGGAAAAGGTGAAAACTGTAGCGAAAGAATGAGGAGGCTGTGGTGGGAGCTGGACTTTGGGTTTAGGGCAGCTGAGGGGACTTGGAGAGAGGCTACTCTGTGCATTTGTGAACAGTAATCAACCATTTCTTTCCATTCAGAAATGTTAGGTTATGAGGGACAGACAGAGTGAGGGACAGACAGAGCCAGTGCTGCTCCCTAAGGACCCACTCAGTTTCCTGTGAGAGCAGAGGAGAGACGTCTAACGTTGTCCGGGATTATTCAGGGTAGTTTTGTCCAAGGGTGGGGGAACTGGCTGGCTGGGTTTTGCTCCTGAGAATACGTAGTTAACGTATGGCAGTGGGATGAGAAGGCACTGGTTCTGTTAGGTTGGATTTAGAGGAATGCTGGAGAGCCTTTTATACATCCCATTTTTTCCTCTTCTCCATTCGGAAGACCTCTATCTGTTCACCATCACTTTTAGAGAGGACTGTTTCTGGGGGTAAAAAACCCCTCACTCAGTTAACATCCATGAGTTACCTGAGAAGGGCTCATTCACTCCTTCAGGATGGAAATGTCGAAGGCAGGGTTATCCCCCCAGAGGTCTTTCTTTCCTGCTGACTTGCTTTCATTACCATGAGCTTCCTGACTCTTCGTCATGTCTTTCTGGCAGAAGAAGGAAGTTAAATATCACCCACTGTGTCATGTTCCCCCAGAGAACACTGTTCCCCATTCCTAAAAAGATTAACTGCGTATCAAAACCGAGTTCCAAGACAGGTAACTGGGTAGGTTTGTGCTTTTGATCAAGGTAGCCTTTCCAAGGGTGGTGGTGTTGTTGTTGTCGTTTGATGCCGTCTAGTCATAGACGACTCATAGCGACCCTATGAACGAACGGCCTGAGCACTGTTTGTACATAGAGTTTCCAGAGCCAAGCCATTTTGGAAGTGGATGCCGCTCCTGCTTCCAGTTCCAAGGGTGGACAACGTTTTTGTTTTAGAAATCTTCAGTGTTCTTGCTTCTGATCATTTTTCTGTGAATTTCAATGTGAAATGTCCAAGGGAAGGGTGAGAGACCTGTTAAAACAGTTTGGGAAACCTAAACTTTGAGGAGGCATAAAATCTCCTGGATCCTTTTGTTTGGAAAGAGAATGAAGACAGCTGGAGAGGTCTGGGCTTCATGGCTCAGCATTCAGGAAGGCAAGCTTGCCTAAACCATCACTCACCAGGAGGATTGATTCTGTCTTAAAGATCCCATGAGATAATATCAGCCCTTTTGCTAGAGTCTGGCTCATCGTAGGCATCTGACGTTGCCCCTTCATCCTCCTCCTCCCAAACTGGGATACATGATCTGCCCAGGTCCCCTCACAGTTGGGTGGAACTTCAGCAGGAGCAAATGCTCGAAGCCAGTTTTGTTGTAGTGTCTTTTCTGAAGGCTAGGTGGCAGAATAGATACACCGTGGAAAAACTTCATTAGGGAAGGAGAAAGAACAATGGTAGAAAACTTGAACAATGGGAACAGGAGGTGGGGGAAGGGGGCCAAAGGCAAGCGCGGAGGGGCAGACAGCAACACCCCAGGTCCATTTGTCATGCCCTCCAGCCTCAGGTATTACCATTTTCCCCACCTCAGACCAGCAACAAATCGAAACTTCCATACAAAATTTTCCCATTCTCAACACACCCCCGCACCGCCCTGTAGTTCCCCCCACCCCCCATAAGTATGTTACCTGGGAGACAAGCCAGGCCAGAACTTGATTATTTGGGGTTCATCAAAGAAGGTGTGTAAGCTTCTCTGCTGAGTAATTAGACTGTGGTGGCAAGCCAGAGTGTGTATAAAATTTCCTTTATTATTTTAAAATATTCATCACAGCCAACAGTCTCAAACACACAGAGAACAGAAGATAATACAGCAGTTGTCCAGTACTCACTATACACATTCAATGCATATGTTAATGTTTTATCACCGTTGCTTGCAATTTCTTGGGGAGGGGGGGAAGTTACACTTAGGAGCTAACTTCCTCCTCTGTCCCATGCTGCCTTCTCTTCTAGAACAAAACAAGACCAAATGCACTGCTGTCAAGCCGATTCTAACTCACAGCAGCAGTGGGGGAAAGAGAAGAGCTGCTCCTCGTGGTTTCCAAGGCTGTAAATCTCTCAGGAAGCCACTGCCTCTTTTCTCTCCCGTGGCTTTGGATTCCTGACTCTTTGGTTAGCAGCTGAATGCCTTAACCATAGCTCCACCACATCTCAGCTACTGTTGTGAAATAACTGTATCTCTACAGGCTTTGCAGGTTTTATTTGAGTAGAGGTAGAATGATTTTTGAGGTTGAAACCAGGTGCTCCTTTGAAATTGATTTTGTGATGGTGCCCACTGTGGTGGAAGCACAATCAGAGTCTAAACTGACCCCCAAAGTTGACTGTTTTTTCCCAAAGTTGACTCTTGAAGATGTGAGA